ACGGTAAGTATGAAACTTACTTTTTTATATTAAATGAATTTATTAAAGAAATCAAATGGCTCCATTCGTATCGTTCTTAAGTATGATATTCTTACTAGATTAATATAATTTATTTCGTTATTTAACAATTTTATATCAGGAAGACCAAGATCCAGATCTTGAACAACAGAAGTGTTACGAATAAATATCATCTCCCGAACCCCATCAGGGTTGCCCAACGAATGTTAACTTTATAGGATTTTTATTTCGTTTTATTATAATTATTTATTCCGTTTCTTTAAACTTCTATAAATGAATATTCTCGTAACCCTATTGAGTATCCTAATTTAATGTATAATGGATGTAAACTCTAAATTCTAAATTGCTTCCACTGATAGTTAATGTAATTCGATATTTTCATTTCCTTAAGTTTTGGACCTTTACAATAATTTTTATTATTATAAATATATTTATATCCATATTAATAATTATAATTATATTTTGATAAATACAGTTAACATATATTAATAAATATACACAATTCTAATTTAAAAAAAAATCTAAAATTCATCTGAAATTCAAGACAAGTTTGAATTTACCCTGCATGACAACAATTCAAATTGAAATTAGGTAAAATCTTCCCCAATCTAACCCATTATCATCCTTCAAGTGAAAATTATTTGCCACTCAAAACTTTATTATGATCAAGTTTGAGGAGATAAGCTCTCATACTTCTTATCAACTGAGTTTTCTCATATGTATATATATATATATATATATATGTGTGTGTGTGTGTGTGTGTGTGTGTATATAGTGAAATGGGATCATATTTTTAATTTCCAAAAATCAAAATAATATTAAGATTTCATCATGTTCCTCATACTTGTTACTCAATTCCTAAAATTTTTGCCTCTAAAAGTGGGAAAATAATGTAGAAGCCAACATAGAATTATTCTGATTCCATTTTAGCTGTCACAACTCTTTTTATTCACATATGGACTTTCTTCTTGATTGATTGACAAAATGGGTTGGAA